CGCTGATTACAGAACCGGCTTTCTGACAAGATGCGCGTTAAATATCGCATGCGATTAATTGTGCAGCCCTAGTCTGAGCACTGACAGGCTGACCCCCCACCCCTTCAACCTCTGCAGCAATGGTGGCAGCACTCGTACGTCTATTTCCCAAACACAACCTCTAGATATGGCGCTGAGCACGTGCACTCAACTTCTTTGGTCGACCATGGCGAGGCCTGTTCTGAGTGGAACCTGTCTTGTTAAACCGCTGTATGGTCTTGGCCACCGTGTTCTGTGACATCTATGATGAAACAACGCAGAAAGCCGTTAAGTCCTGCTTGACGTGTCAAAGCTCTTACTGTGAGACTTCACTGGAGCCTCATTGCAAAGTACCACATCTAAAGAAGCACACACTGATCAACGCTGTGGAAAATCTGGAGCATTATATATGCCAGAAACACAAGTTGTTCTGCAGAGATGATCAGACATGTGTGTCTGTCCTGCACTGAAGGAGACCACAGGACGCACAACACTGTTCCTATAGAGGATGAGAGTCAAGAGAAGGCGGCAAGAGTTACAAACAAATACAAACACTATAAAGACCCCCTGAAATGCAATGTGTGTATGAAGCTGAGCTGGAGCAGCTCTCACACACTGAGGATGATCTCCACCTCCTACAGGTCTGTGAACATCTCTCATGAATGATAATGCATTATAAAACACTTCCCATGCTGATAAATTTCTTCTATCTCCTGTTGTAGATTTACCTATCCATTTGCACTCCTATATGAACTACTGCTTTTAATATGAATGTGTGCACTATTTTTATGTGTGCAAACTATTTTTGTTTAAGGAATATTCATGGGTTAAATGCATGCTATAGCTCTATTGATGGCATGTGACATGCTTTTCAGAGGAAATAATGTGGACACATTCATTAGTTTGTAAAATCAAAGTTTACAGTCGAATTTTAAGTAAATACACTTACACATGGAAGTCACTGAATGAACATTTTGAAAAATACAACCATCATATCGTTTCAATTTCAAATAAGTATAAAAGTATTTGAATATAACCATAGCACCTTCTATCGTAAAATTATGTTTTAGCATGAAACTGGTGTGATACAATTGCCCATTGGTGTAACAGTAAATAAACCATACTGATTTGCCACATACACATTGCAAATTTATTTATTTTTTTAATGTTTATGTGTGAGACTGTGTTAATGTGATGTGTGACATCTGTGCAAACCAAATTTCCTAAGGGATGAATAAACTGAACTGAACCGACAGTGGTGTAAATAAGCCAAGAGGTAATTGGATTCAGCAATATGTAAGAGTTGTTGCTCATAGAGTTTCACTGTCTTTGTGTCCACAGTGTTGAAGATGATGCAGTGGTATGCAGGTACAGTGTGTGAGCTGCACTTCTCATATACACTTACTTTGTATATATACACTAATTTGCTGCATGATTGTTCATATTC